CACGGTATATGCACTGAGAAGAAAGCAACACTGAGATAGTAAGGAATTTTAAAATTGATAAAATGCAGTAACTTTTGTGAATCTTTGTGAACCTTCTAACACGCATGGCTGTTACAATGGATCTGAAGGTTACTATGGGATAAGAGGGGAACTATAGAAAGGAGCAGCTGCTTTCTTTTTGGGTAAATCTGAAAAATTGGACAGAGTACTGGAAATATTTAATTATGCTCAGCCAAGTTATTATCTAGTTTTCCAACTGAATGCCTATAAGAAGGAAATTTGCCTTCATGAGAGCCTGAAGAATTTCTGTTTGCAGAGGCCAGTATTAAAAAGAAAATAGGGAAGTTTTTTTCTGAAAATTGGTGCAATAGTATTTTAATTAAATTAGCCAAGTCCAGAGATGCTATTGAAGAGTGGATCTAAAAATAAACTCTTTCTAAAAAGATATCTGATGCTAATTCAGGAATTTAAATGGCCAGCTGCATTTGGTAAGTGTTTATATGACTTACCAAAAGTGCATGAAGAAAACCAGCTTTTCTTCTGAATGAGAAATACATATTAAAAGATGTTAGAGATGACTTTGTATATCTGTCAGCATTTTCACATACATAAAATACATCAGCAGTATTTCCAAATAGAAAATTTATTTCATAAAGACTATATCCTTTTTGCTTAAGATTGGTTGCCTGTAATGGGTTAGAAAGTATACCAACTATTTTGGGGCAAGCTCACTAGTCATATAGCGATGTAGTGAGGAAAATACTTACATTTCCTCTAGTTTCTGAGAATCAAAGCTGTTTGATACAATTACTAACTTAATTTTAGCTAGAATTTTTGTGCCAATTTTAAATTTGTGTCAATTTGTGCCAATTTTGAATCTACCTCTGCAGTATTTCAATACCAATAAAAACTACCTTCGCATACAATTTGGCAAGTTTGTTATATTTTCACTGGAAATAAAAAAATGTACATAGTGGGGCAGTGTGAATGCAGATGACCACAACATTTGATCAGGTAATGATATCAATGGACTGAAAATTCAGAATGCTAAAGATTTAAATAAATCAGTATAATTCTTACTGAAATTCATCAAATACCTCCCCTTCCATCTTCAAGTACACGTGTTATATTTGTCAGCATTTCTTGATCCATGACTTTATCTTCACAGATAGTTTGACAGCTCTTTAAATCTGCTAGCTTCTGGAGCCTAATGAGCTCTATAGACCATTTCTATAAATTCATTTGAAAATGTTAATCTTGATTGTCTTATTTATTATTGAAACATTCCACAGCCATATTATGCAGACATCAGCAATACTACATGGATTAAATTTCAGCTTGTTGGCCAAATATTTTATTGCACTACCAATAGTATTAAAATGGCTTCTGGGGCACAGGTTTACTTATTTACATTAAAGATTTTGTAATAAGATCAAAATTACATAGATGGCTATTTTTTAATTTGAATATTGGTTTTCTTCATCAAAGTAAAAAGCTAAACATGATTTAAGGATGCAATTGTACCTTTTCTAATTACTAAAAATAATTTTGGAGGACTGTGTAGGGTGCCGTAATTTATTGAATGGATAGGAGAGCTTAAACCATTTGTTCCCTGCTCGGTCCTGACCTAGATCATGCCCCCATGCTTATAGTGGTCAAACATAGATTTATAATTTCAGTATTGTTTCATTGTTTTGGGTTCTGGATTGGAAATAGTGATGGGTGGAGTGTTAAAAACCCTCTCCTGATCATCAGGAAGTAGAACTCAGTTCTAGTCAGACCTTCTGTACCAAGCATTGAGAAAGGGGAGAAAAAGTACAGCTACTAATTATGTCTTTAAGTAAATATATAATTAAGATTATTAGAAGTTTAGCAAACTGAGCTGTCATATGTAAAACATATGGTTTAATAATATTAATGATTAATATTAATAATTGAATGGTGATATATCATGAATAATATTATGTAATATAATGTGAAATGCCTGAAAAATATTGAGAAATTAACAACTTTTAGCTAAGTAACCTGCAGGCTGAGAGACATCATGACAGCAAGATTAATTTGTTGCCTTCTCATCTTGCATGTGGGCTTCTCTGTGGCATCAGGGTGGTGGATTAGACAGGCCATCTCCCAAATTTTAGATGAGAAAGGGATGGAAGGTAGTAGAAAGAATGAAGGAAAGACAGCACAATTTTTGTTTTGCCACTGTGTGTGCTGAGAAATTCACACTGGCCAAAACTTTTCTAATGACAGAGGACACAACAGACCCGAAATTGAACACAAATATTTAAAATATAGTGTGTAGTCAGATCATATAGCTGTATGCATCTGAAGGAAAAACAATAAATTTTGTGACTCTTATAAATTTATGCTGGGGAAGAAAATAACACATCCCACTTGGGAAAGGAATATTGGTACAATCCAAATGTTTCCAGATAAATTTGGCTATATGGGAAATGGAAGAACATTCATTTATTTGAAGCTGTGATATTCTGCAAATGTGGTTGAGTGTGTGGGTGCTGGAAGATAGATTTAATTATGTGAATGAGGCATGAAGGGAGAATAGCAAAGCAAGGTATGCATAGCTGAAGAAAGTGATTGATAGCACATCTGTTGCTCTCCGCAGAGTTTTAATGGCAGAAAGTATAAATTGTACAATGCATTTCAGAATACTTACTGTTGGGCAACTGATTATCTTATTCTGTTATTATAGTAGTCACTCTAATTGTCAATCAATAAATAACTGATCCTTTTCTTACATGGAAATTATCTTTTGTGTATGTATAAACAGAAGAAGACCACAGTTAATGATTGTGTAAAGATCCAAACCTGGCTACATAATTGTTGTTATAATAGTTATAGTAAGCATATCTGTGTAGTAATGTTTATCAAGTAGATACATAGATAATTGTGGTATTATCTATCTATCTATGGCACAAGCTCAAGGTATGCTGTTTTAGAGAGCAATTAGAGGCATATAAATATGCACTGTAGTGGTTGATGGACTTGTGATATAAATTTCTACAGATGGTGGGTTGAAGACCCTGATTAACAATGGCATGTATATAATGTATTGATTTGAGTTAGCAGCTAGGATTGCTATTTGACAACTAAAAAGAATGAGTCATTGATACAGGAGGAAATAGATTTTTCTTTAAAAGGAATCTGTTATAAATCATTATAAATTACTAACATTTGAGCCCTTGTTTTTACCAGTTCATTTCTAGATTCATATTAGGAATTGTAATTGTCAGAACACTGTTTTTCTATCTTCCAGGAGAAAAGTCTTATAAAATAGTTTAATAATTTAGGTTTGAATATTATATTAATATAAGAAAATAATCCAGAATAAGGAAAAAGGCATGACATTGTTCCCTGATTAACATCCAAAAAGAGATATCAAAACTTATCTCCAAACAGTGAAGAGCAGCTGCTCATAGCTTTGTTGGAAATCTGGCTCAGAGCAGTGTCTGAGTACTACTTTTACAGTGTGAGTTTTCGTGTTGGTATGCAAGACTTCTGCCAAATGTTTTTTGCTCATGTGCCATTTCTCCCTCTTGGTTTCTGTTTTCCTTGTGGCTTGCTGAAATGAACAAACATTTGTCAGTGATTTGCTGAGCTGCAACTATGATTGGTGGTAGAAGTACATTGTAGGATGGCTATGTGATAAAAAGGTCCAGTCCTTATTTCAGGCTTCACAGTCCTAGTGCTTCATACTTGTTGCCTATGATTTAGCTGCTTCTGGAAGTTATAAATAAATTTCAGAAAGCTTCTTTTTTGGGGGGGGGAAGTGTTTTGACACATCTGATAGTTTTGGACAGAAGTTCAGTGCATAGAACCTGTGGCTGACATTGGACCTCTGCTACAAGCTAAGTATTGGATTTAACTGGCTCTAAGATCTCTGGTTGTTGAATAAAATCTAGTGTTTCACACAGTGAAATGATGAAACGAAGAAGAGAAAGATTTGGAGCTCCATCTCTACGTGTCCAGTAAGACTTGTTTTGGAAAATAGATTTCCATAGCTTAACTAATCTTATTGGAAATGAACATATCTAATATTAATTTGTTCCTGAGTGAGTGTTTTAAAACACTTTCCCATGCTCTTTAATAGAAAAGATTTAGAGCAGTTTATATACTAACAGTAAAACAAGATAGTTTCCGCTGAACAGAATGCTTTAGCCTTTTAAAATAGATATTCATAACTTTTGATAATCTTTGTAGTTAATGGAGGAATAATGTAGAAGTAATGTAAAATAATCAGTGCTTAACCTAATATTTTATATAACGAGGCAGTATATTTGGATTTTTGTATTCATTGGCATAAACTGAACAAACATATTGACTCTTAGGTTTTATATGTTTTAATTTTTACAATCATAAAGCTAATGATTCAAACGAAGTAGTATAGTAATAGAAATTGATACTTTAGTATCAAGACTAAATAAACTTTATCTACATTTTCCCCATAAATGTGCCAGTTCAAATACTTCAGATGAACTGTTTTTCTCTCCTTCTCTTTCCTTTTATAAATAACTGAAAATCAACAGTTTTGTCCACAGTTGGACAAACATTAGAAAGGGTCCAGATACAATGTAAAAAAATTTGGTTTTTGCCAACTGCAAGACAATGGGCTGTGGTTTATTATTTATTTATTTACTTGGAAAAAGGAAATGCCACCCATTCCTTTGAAAGTGCTAGGCAATTTACAAGGTACAATAAAAGTGTAACTCAAATCCTATCATCATCATTATGATGATCAGCAACATTTTTTTTAAAAGGAGCCCCCACACTAAATTGTAGTGAAGATGGGGCTTGCTTCATTTCTAGTGGCAATTTATTGCATACTATGGGCTCAACTGTGGAGAAAACTGAATTGGTCATGAGTTCAACAAACGGCCCACCATTGAAGACCTAAGTGTAGAGAATGGACTCTATGGGAGCAGGCACTTTAAAGTGTCATTGAATGCAAGTAGATTTATCATTAAATGTGAGTACAATACAGATGAATAAATATCTTTCATTAGTTTGTAAATTCCAACTCAGTATTGAAAACAATTTTAATAGCTCATGCTTTCATGAAATCTAAGATTTAAGCATAAGACACATGTGGACTAACCGAGGAGCATTGGCCATTATGTATAGCTTCAGTACTTCTTGTGTACAGTGTCTAATCAAGACCTCAAACCTTAAAGAATTTTAAAGATAGAAAAACATCTGGTTAGGAGTGGATACGTTATTGTCAGCAACGTGATTTTGTTTTCTGAAAAGACAACAGATTTAAGATGATTTAGAAATTGACTGTTTCTGTTGTGGTACTTTATCAGAATCTCCTCTCCTTTCCTCTCCCACTGCCGAGGAAGCGAAGTCCATCAACATGTGTTCTCCCCTACATCCGCTCCAGGTCTGCAACATCTTAAAATTCCACTTAGTGCTGATTGTGCCCTTGCAACCTCTCCTCTAGTATTTTACCTCAGTCCACAACCTCAGAGCAACCCTGGTAGTCCCTGCTACAGCAATCCACTTCAGTGGAGGTAAGGAGGAATTTAAACTGGGAATGTTTGTGGTTTGTGCAACCTTTTACACGGAATATTTAAAGTGGATCTTACATATTTTAGGGGCATCTTTTTAGCATTCAAGATACTACTATATTCACATGGCTAATGATAAGGTAGTCTCCAATTCATTTACCCAGTTGTCCCTCTTATTTTTCCAAATAATTAAGGCAACAAGTGTAATTAATACACCAGCACATGTGTACTAAAAGATTTTGATTCACATGGTTTCACATGCTACTTTAAAGTTATAAAATTAATTGTCAAGCTGCGTTTCACTTATATGTTGTGACTATTAGGTGGCGTTATGGATCAACCATTTCTTTTTCAATATTGATTCTCCAAAGAATCAAAGCTACTTATTAAGGGTGATGTCTGTTATGAGGCAAAATAAGGCTGATGTTGATGTTGTAGTTGCTGTAAGGCAACAATGGCAGCAGTCTTCTCCTTCCTTGTATTTCTCTTCCTCCTTACTCTTGGAACTAATGCTACAACAGTGATGACACTTGCTTATTTCTGACCTGAAATGGATAGGTTTCACATAGTCACCTTCTTCCAGCATACCACAGCTTGTTAGTTTAATTTAGACTAAAGACAGCAGTTGTCAAATCCAACAGAGATCTTCTTATGTCTTTAGGAGGTGTTTCAGGGCAGATCTGAATAACGAAAGACTAAACTAGGTATACATTGGCTTCATCTCCTTCTTCCCAAATAGAGACTGTTATCTTTTCTGGCAGTTAAAACTTACTGTTTTCTTTTTTAATTGACTCTAATTCTAAAATAAATAACACTTAAATTCTTACCTTTTTATATATTAGCAAAAGCTGTTTAAGTGAATTTGAATTCATACTTTATCCAGTCAGGTTTGCCTATGGTATTTTAAAGGTTTTAATGCTTTGTAATAAAATTAAGATTTTTTTTGGTATGTGTTCATGCTTAGTTAAACAGTTATAGTTATGAGACTATGTTTTCTATTGCATCTAGTTAGATGACTATTGCACCTGCTCCTTTGAAAGCTATGCAGTAAAAATTATTTATTATTTATTAAATAGATTATAAGGCTTTCCATCTCACAAATGCAACTCTGGGCATCTTAACAACACTCTAAAACAATAAAAAACAATATTATTTAAGAATAAGAACCTACAATGGTCACTGAGGATAAACCCAAATAAAACAATTAACAAAAACCTCTCAAAGGGCCATCTAACCTGATCCCATGGAGTACTTCAATGCCTTATGAAGGGCCAGCAGTGTCAGAGCCAATCTGATTTTTTTGGGAGGTGGTGGTGATCCAGAGGGCATTTATTTGGTTACATGAAACTTGGTGTAGATAGCATAAGTGGATTACTGTAAAGCTCCTTAATTTAGATCTGTTTTTATTATTATTAATATCAGGGGAATATGTCAGCAAGCAACCACTATAAATGACACAGTGATATTGTTTTACCTCATCGGTCAATATGCAGCTAAAAGCAATATCTTTTTATTTAACATAATGTTCCCATATGAACTGTCTACTTAGTAGTTAATTGTTAAGAATATCCAAAGGAAGTGTTAAAAAGCAGAATCTAGGAGCTTTTTAAACTAATCTGTCTTAGTTTTCTCTATAAAAACTCATAATTCATGATAAGTAAAGAAGAGGCTGTTGATTCATTGGAACATTCTTAAGAGAAAGATGATTCACATTGTTGGAGAAAGAATACTGTTAAACTGGGGGGGGGAATCATTATGCTGAGGAATGCAATTTGGGGGGAAAAAGTTAGATGCAATTCGAAAGGATTGTTGAGACTTGGAAAACATGAAGAAGGTGAACACGATATGATGAGATGTGGAAAGAGATGGAGAGAAAAATAGTATCAACAACTATCTTTTTTATGCTGAGACATTTCACTTGAAGAGTTTTCTTTTAACATGGAGATACCTGAATTGTCTTTATTGCAGTCTCCTCCAGTTTATTGGGCTTGAAGTCCATAAAATTATGGCTGAAATATTTTAAAATGAAATGAAATTTGATTTGAATGCATCTGCTGATGTAGCTTAGACTGGTCCTAGCATTCAAAGGCTGGGGGCAAGTGATTCCCCCCTCCCAAACTATCAGATAATAGGGCAGGTCAAGCATTCATATCAAAAATTGTGGGGAGATGGGCGGGGACAAGTCCACTAAATAAATAAATAAATAAATAAAAAAGATAAAATAAAAATGACATGATAGAGCTTCATTGCCACCCTCATCCCTTCCTTCCCACCCATCTACCCACTGATACTTATCAAAGAGTAGGGCATATTGACTTTTCCTTAATTACAGGTGTTCATTTTATTATTTTTACTTTAAAATATATTGTTCTTTTCTGCATCACTATAATGCTTACTCCTAAATAAGACATACGGCTTACCTTGTAAAATGATGGAATGAATGTTCATTTATAAATTAAAAAAAATCTTATGAACAGTTTGAAAAATGAGATACCATCAGAAAACATTTGATTGGATGTTAGAACCTTTATTGCTGACAAGTGTATAAATAGTTTTCAGTGAAGAAAATAGCGTTAATATGCTCAAAGAAAGAATAAATACAAGTCAGAAGCTTAATTTTAAGATACAAAGTCAAATCATATTCATGATGAAAATTACATTTTAGTTTTACTAGTGTAATTTTATCTTTTTACATTTTCAGAGGTTCATCTGTCATTACAAACTTGCTGATAATCAATAGATGTGCAAATATGTCTCAGAATATAGCTTTGTAAAATTTTGGAACCCACTACTTTCAGCTGTGTAGTTCTTATTCTACGTTATTGATACCTTATTTGTTATTATATGTACTTAGATACCAGTCAATTACTGTTTCTGCTAATTTGGAATTTATATTCATGCTGTCAAGTTAGTTTGTGACACTGTTGCAGTCTGACTCCCATAGATAAATTAGGTTGCAGCTTCCTTAGCTTGGGAGATAATTACATTTTAATATCCATTAATAACATCACATTTGTTAACCTTCTAACACATTTTTCCACAAATGTTTGAGTAAATTTTGTCTTGTTTTGGCATATTCAGCCTTTCCAGATGTTAGCGTGCCTGTTTCACGCATTCTACCATATTGAAAATAGAAGAATCTGCCATCTGTAAAGTTTTTAAGCTTAATTCTTCTAAATGAGATAGCAGAAGTTTGCGAAAGTCAATCCCAACCCTCAGATTTGATTGTCGGCTGATATGGGTTCTACCATGTGAAATGCCCATGCGGTTTGAGACTGACTAATCCTGTATATATAGTTTACCAAATCTTTTATATAAATAGTTAGTAGAGATTTCCAATGTAAATGGGCTCAAGTGATTTTTAAAGTATTATTTCAGGCACATAGATGCAATTATATTTAACAAGGGTATTTGCAGGAGCAGTCAACAAAGTCAAAATAGTGGGTGTGACTGGACAGTGATGGCCCTTCCCTTTTAATGCATGTATGTTGTATGTTAAAAGGGGGCGGGTTTTGATTGCCTGGTCACACCTGCCATTTTGATGATGTTGACTGCTTCTGCAGATGCCTGTGGTATGTGAGAATCAGCTCAGTTGAAATGGAGGTAGAAGTCAGAACAATTATTTCAAGAAGTTCAGTGAAGAAAATAAAACAGAATAATAGAAGCAAGAACTGGTTTACTGTTTTAGAAGAGGAATGACAATCAAAATTAAAATTAGAAGAGAAACTTCATGCATGAGTGGCCAATAATAAAAGTGTGGAATTTGGTGCTGCCTTTTCCTGAGTGAGAAAGCTACGGCTCCTTTACTCAATTACAATATATTGGGTAAGTCTGAAGGTCACAAACTATTGTATATTTGGCATTAGGAATCTTAGCTTATCCCATAGATAATTTCTGATTTGCTGGCTAGGCCCATGCGGTCACAGATGGAGCTTTACTATGATTGGGCGAAACTGTTCCCAAAGAGTTTGTGTTTTACTTATCTCCCACAGTTTTTATAACTAGGGATAAGTATTCAGCAAAGGAGGAAGAACAAAGAGGCTCTGCCTATGAATATCCAGGCAGGAGGCCCAGATGATCTCACTCTAGCCCTTTTCTATGCACTGAAACTTGTGTTGAAATTCAAGAGTTCAAGGAATAATACGTAGTTTAGCTAAGATGACTGTATTTATTCTATCTGGGTTTCTTTGGTTGTGGTTGTTGCGTTCCCTTGTTTTCCTGTACTTCTTTTTTCCAAATAAACTTTTTTTATAACTAGAGAAGGGAAATTTTTCACTAAAACATCCCTCTTGCAACATACTGAGGTATACGGCAAACAAACAAACAAACAAACAAACAAACGGCATAATGATATGAATGAAGTATAACACTTTATAGATATATATTACAAAATCTAAAATACTGTTTATATTCAGTAGAGGCAATAAATCATGAGTTTACCTATATTATTAACTATAATATTTAGTGTATTTTAACATGTTTTCAATTTTCCATGTTTTACAAAATATTTGATAATAGCTGCTTTTGAGTTGTCCAGCATTTTAACCAATTTAAATCTGAGCTCTTATAAGCTATTATATTTTTGTTTTTGTTTTTCTTTCATGGTTGCTTTTCAGTATTTTGCATGCATTCTGGCTGTTAGCAAGTCTATGTAAGTATTTGTAGGCTCAGTATTGTAAAAACTGAAAAGGAAAATTACAGTATCTTGAGCATGTTATTTAACATATTCATACCTATTTGTCAATATCTTGATGTGTACCTGCAGTGACCCAGATAAGGAAATAAATATATTAAGGACCTGAAAGCTCAAATTATAAAGAAAATGATAGAGACAACTTTGATAAAATTAAGAAGTCTGCTTTTTTAATTTAATTTGATAAAATTAATAATTTCATCATTAATAATTAATAAAAAATAAAATTTGATAAAATTAAGAACAAGACTGTCTCCTTTGAATTTTAAAATGCTAGTAAAATGAGATTTCATTAGAGAATGTGCAATTT